AGAGCTGTTACAACGCCGGGCGACCGGGAAAATGCCGTCTCTGACACAGGCCAGGCAGCGCAGATAGCTGAGGATATTTTTAGGGAGAGGCGTGTCTATATATGGCACACAGGCCGCGACATACGCATATACGCAGCTGCCAGGGAAGATCGTGTAACACGAATCGCAAGGACCGTTAACAGTAGTCGTGTCAATCAAACGAGCAAGTATGAAGACGTGAACTTGGGTCATGTTACGGAACTCGGCATCATACATACATACATACATACATACAAACATACATACATACATTCGAAAGTTACAAAATGTCTAATGAGACTCCAGTTAGAGTAGAAAGGGAATAAACTTTAAACTTTATAAATGTTTGTCACGTTTACTGCTGTGTCCCGCGAATTCTGGAATTATACTTGCAGACTGAACGTAATTGTAGGGTTCAATGCCTTTCGCCTTTTTTTCTGTTCAAACCATATACCAATGGTATTTGAATCAGCGAGAAGCTGTTGCGCTTAGATCAGTCTTTGCTATATCCTTGCCTTGCTATATCATTTGTGGACTGGTGTCCAGATGTTTTATTACATATACAAGCGAATGAACAGTTGAGTAACCTTAAGAGACTCTCTCTCTCTCTCTCTCTCCGGATGGCAGATTGTCGCTATTTGTGGTACTTAGGTAGTTTAAGGGATGCTTAACATAATTAAATTACCATTATGCAAATCAGGATGTAATTTACATAATTAATAAGATTCTATGAGTCTGCTGCGTTTCATATTAGGACAGTTCAAACAAGTGACATATGTAATTAAAAGGACGAGGGACATTGGGAGATATAACTTATGTAAATTGTGGTTCAATTTGCATAATTAATGAGAAAATGCTATAATTCCATACTCTTGGTAAACGGCGGAAATTTAATACTTGTGGCATTTGTCAAGTGGAGTCAAGTGAACATGAACATCATAAAAAACATAACGTTTTTCCAGTCAGGAACTCATTTGCATTATTTATGGTAAATGTTACAATAGCTTCTTTGATTTATATGATTTTTTAAAGATTTGGTATCAGGGTTAACGTTTAAAGAAGATAAACACTCATTTACTATCTTACAAAACATCCAGTGCACAGTAGCTGTTTTGATTATTGAGGAAATTGGAGATATTGGTTATCCTACCCTAAACACTGTAAATTAGTTTTCCTGTGTGTGAAAGGTGTTCAGCACCAAGGACAGGCTACGGTATGGCCAAAGACCTCAACCGACATCAACCGACCACACCCGATCTCAACCGACGGCGTCAGGGCCCTTATCATGTAGTTATATATATATATATATATATATTCATGGTGTTTGTGTTGGGTGTATGATTCTCGTGAATCTTTCAACGGACCGAGCTCACGGTGTTTGTCAGAGTGTATGATTCACGGGAATCTTTCAACGGATTATGTTCATTCCTTGTCAATGTGTATATTGTAATTGCAACGGACTGAGTGAGTACATATATTATTACATAGTGTATGTTATAACATTCGCAAAACAATCAAGATGTAAAATAGTTTTTAATGGTTTACAAAACAACATAGTTTTCAACAAAAACTCGGTGGCCTTGCGCCTGTGCTCTGAACACTGGTGCATCATCGATACCACCCACGGCGACCTCTGACCGCTAGCGTCATGGTCTCCATGGCGACGACTCCGACTCAGGTGTGCAAGGCAAGATGGCGGCTGCAGCCAGAGAGAGAGACCGGGAGATTGAGATGGCGGTTCCCAACTGTTTACACTGGAGCTGCGAGGATGTCGCCGACTGGATCGAGCAGCTCGGCTTCCCACAGTACAGGGTAAGCGCTGGACGGCTTTTAAACCTCATATAATTTGAAACAGTTGTGTTATATATGCAAGTGATCTCAGGTGCTATCTGACACATAACGGGTTGTCGTTAACGTTTTATTCTCGATGGTTGGCGGTTGTTGCGTCTTTCTATTGTAATGTTGAAGACTGACGCCGATGTGTATTTGGAACCGTCCATCGTCTTGCTGACTTCTATCACAAAATATGTGGGCTTCTGTAACTTGTAACTGCTTACACTAACCTGGTTACCATATAAGCGCATGGCAACATATCCCAGGCAAGGAGTATGATGCATGTCTACTTACAGTTTGCTCTGCCAGTTGGTAAAAGTACCTTACCAAACATTAAAAAAACGTAAATGACATCTTTCAAAAGCAACATTCAACTTATTACACAGTGTTAATAAAATATTTTGACTGTCCTCCTTATTCTATCTCACATCTACACAAGTTTTAGCTTCATACTGGTGCCGTATGTAAGTTATGACATGGAATCATTGCATAATTTATCCTATCCCTCTACAGGAATGCTTCACTACAAACCTG